TTTGAATTCTACAGATTTGTAGAATTCAAATAAAAAAAAGTTTATCGATTTTGGTCAAGTGATTGCTGAGATATCTTCGATCAAAGTTTTGGTATAAATATTAGCACAGCTATAGTATTATTAAGTAATATAGACGTTTTAAATTTTTCCAAAACTTTGATCAAAGATATCTCAGCAACCACTTGACCAAAATCAATGAACTTTTTTTTATTTGAATTCTATAGATCTATAGAACTCAAATAAAAAAAAGTTTATCAATTTTAGTTAAGTGGTTGTCAAGATATCTTCGATTAAAGTTTTAAATTTTTATAAACAATGAAGTGATAAAATTGAGGTAATCTTTAGTGTAACCATGGTGCAAATAGCAAAAAAGCATGGTGCAAATAGCAATTCTCTATTTTTATTTCCCAATTTTGTTATTAATCATAAATACATAAATCTCTATTTGCATAATATATAAAAAAATTTATAGGTAATTAAGAATAATTGTATAACATATAATATATATTTTAAGTAAAATATAATATACAATATGTTGTAGTATTGCTAAATAAACTATAATATCCCAAGCATTTTACTCAATATACTGTACCAAAAGTAATATTTACTTATCTGAATATTTCCTTGTGTATTGTCTTTTGAATTCAACTTTAACTTTAATAAATCCTTTCGAGACTTAATTCAACGGTTGAATTGACTTGTAACTTCAATTTGACTTATTAAGACTCGAATTCTGGTATACCCATAAAATTAAATATTGTTACTCAGATTACAGTAACTTGTGTAAATTGTGAACACATCAAATTATCATCACCCTCAAGATCATTCTTAAAAGTTATACAAGACTCCCTTTGCTTCTCTAAGTTTATATTTATCTCTTCGTATACTTACAATTTATTTTGCTAATAAATTTATAACTCAGCTTCTGGTTTGTATAATCGAAACAAAAAGAATCATTTGATTTGTATTTCTATTTCATAAAAAGGGTGATCTATATTGCCTATTTTGGGTAATATACTTTAACGATTTTAGATAGCTATCCCACAAAATTTTTTTCATCTCTGTAATAACAATCGATTAAATTTCAGGATCAGATGTAAGTAAAAAGTTACATGCAAAATTAAAGTTAAAAAAACTGCATTATTATTAGGGTTAGGACTAGAATAATGTGATATTTACAAGTAAAATTTTACAAGAAACATTTTTTATTAGATCGCAAAAGGTAGTTTTCTAATTAAAATTTAGAGCAATTCTTGTTTTTTTGCTTTGTCTTGATTTTCATATTGCACCTAACCCTGAAATTCGATTAGTCATTATTACAAAAATTTTGTAGACAGCTAGGGGCTTTTACTCAACATATTACTGATCACATTCATCAGCTTCAATTAAATAATTCTACTAAATATATTATATTCACTATTATTTGATTGTTTTAGCATAATATTTATTATTTTCATAATTTTATAGATAAAGTGGTGGATTGACAGATTGAATTATGATTGTTTAGAAATAATAGTTTTTATATCTTTCGATTTATCTTAGTGAGATAAATTTGATAACTCCTATAGTTTTGATATTATGTGTTCTACTACTTTACCCATCTTACCGTATTTTAACCTCTTTTACTTTATTTAAGTCAAAATATTATTAAATAAATCAATATTAACATATTAAGTCAAGTTATTCAAAAGATCAAAAAAATTTTTTTTTTAAAAGCTTGATACAAACTAACTTTATTCATATATTTTTATGCTTAACAAAAAACTAAAAATAGATTTTAAAAGTTGGTTCTAAACCAAATTTTGGTTTAAAACTTATTATACAAAAACCTGATTCTTAGGTTTTTAATTTGGAATCTAAAAGTTTTAGAACTTAAACCAAACCTTAACTAACTTGGCCATCTCTAGATATGCTATTCTCTTTGCATAAAAGAATCTAACATCGTCTGAATCTTTGAAGATGAAACTTGAAAGTGAATTTCTTGCTATAATGAATGCAATATTTAGAGTACAGTATTGTGATCAGTAATAGTTGTATCAAGAAGACTGATCACAATATGAAGAGAGTCAAGTTTGGCTTGGTTTGTAAAAGAAGTAATATCATTTAGTTCATCAGCACTACTATCATTTTCTGGGTCACTGATTCTAGCAAGTCAGCATCTGTAAACTCTTGATGTACCATATCCATCTCTTCTGGTGAGTTTGTATAATAGGCAAGGCTTATGGAGTGGCAAGGCGACAATAATCTCAGTAACTCTTCTAAATCTGCAATAACAGATGAATTTTCATTATTTGGATGGACTTCATGTATAGTAGGAGAAATCTCATAATCAAACAGGCCAGTATGACAGAAACAGTTTGTGACATTCTCTAAAAGAATTGAATACCAGATTCGAACACATCATTGCATAGCTTTTAGTTGTTCAACTTTATATATATCAAATTCTTCAGCCTTGTCACAATCAAGAGCATGTTGCAACAGAAAATGACGGTAATGGTGTTTGAAGGCAGCAATAATATCTGAGTTCATTGGTTGAAGTTTTGATGTTGTTTTTAGAGGTAGAGTAACAATCTTTATATTAGTAAGATCAGTATCACCAACTGTATGTAAGGTCGCACCATCAATAAGAAGAAGAATGTGTCAATCTGCCTCTTGCATCATGCAATTAAATTTCACAATTCATTCCCTAAAAAGAAGTCTGATCATCCAGGCTTCTTATTATTATAATAATAAAATCTATGTTGCTTTCTGGTTTTACCTTTAAATAGAAATAGTAAAAAATTGCTTTTTAATGAAATTAATTTAAAACAACAGGAGCAACTGTTCAAATTTGTCAATATAATTACATGTGATTGTCAACTAATTGCATCTCAAATTTTATCAAATCGGCCAGTAAGATTGCAAAAAAAAGTTGAGATTCATAAGGATTTAAAAAGTATGTTATAAGGTGAAGCAAAAACACCAATTCATCAGTTAAATTTATTCTTGTTTCATAAAAAAATAAACTATACGAGCTTTTAAAAGAAGCATTGTAAAATGTACAAAAAAAATTATTTATCAATCGTGTAATTATATCAGAATCCTCTAAGAATTTGAATGGTCGCTTCTGTTATTTAAAACAGAATGTTTTAAATAATTTGTCATTTCTACCTTTAAACAATCTTGGTTTTTTTGAGTGGCTAATAAAAAAAGGTTCTAATATGTGAGACCCATCTGTATTAAAGATAAAGGCGATGGTAAGATGTGTTTTATTCTTTTTGCTCTCTTCGATTTGCCTTTTTGAAATTGTTTTATCTGGTACCATCCTGTAAAATAGACCAGTCTCATCCATATTGTAAATGTCTCTTGCAGTATACTCTTTAATAATTGTATGAAGTTCAGGTAGATTTTTTTCAATGGCTTCATTGTTAGCTAACCCACTTTTGCTATGTATACTATGCATTTTAAAGCCATAATATTGCTCAAATGAGAGCAGCCAACCAACTAAAAAATCAGGTGTATTACAATCTTGAGGATCAAGACCTAGTTGTATGACAAATTTTCATCCTTTTTCACATATCAACTTCCCAGTTAAATGAATCCTTCTGGCCTGGCATTGTAAGACCCAATTAGCTAACGCTTTATCTAACTATGGTTGGAGCACAGTTTGCTAGCATTTGACCCTAAGGTCTCTTTCATCATCTATTTTAAGATATTTATTTTTATTTGTGAGAATTCATGAAAGTGTCATTTAGTTGAGAGCATTATTAAGACCAAAATTTTCTTTGACCTATTTTGCTAGTTGTTCTTATATGAAGTTTGGATTATTTTGCTTTTATAAACAAATTTTTTTGTGCTAGTCGTTAGTAAGACTAATTTTTTTCGAAGATATGAGAGAGAAATTAGGTATGAAAATTTTGATTAAACTTTTTTTGAATTTTAGCATCAGCATTACGCTATATGCATATGATAACATACCATTTTTATATTAAACAAGAGCAACTTTTTTTTAAAATTGATCTTACGATAATTCCTTACTCTTCCTTGATGCAAATACATTGGTTGGTTTAATTCACTAGATTTTCCACCTTTGTATTTACAAATCTAGTTAATTTTCAATTGACTTATTGTGCTTTTTTATTTTTTTTTTATTTTTTTATTTATTCATTGTTTTTTTATTTATTCTTTTTTTTTTTATTCTTTTTTTTTATTCTTTTTTTTTTATTCTTTTTTTATTTTTATACTTTTTTTATTTTATTCCTTATTTATTTTATTTTTTTATTGATTATTTTTTAATTCTTTCTTTTTTATTTATTTATTTAATCGGTCATTTATTTTTTTTAATTTTTGCATGTTATTTTTCATATCTACAGATACAAACAAGCTATTTTTTAGTTTTAAATTCAGATGCTTAAAGAAAAAAGCTTCTCTATATCATTTACACGACATAAGTACATAAGTTTTTTACTTTTTTTTATATAATTTTATTTCTTCACGCCTTACTAATGCCCACTTCTAATATGTTTAATTCATGGTTACGGGATGAGGTACGTATATATTTTATTGATTTATTTTATTGGAGAAGACTTATGTATATATGTTCATACGTATTAAGCCTCTTTTATATACATACAGTACGGAAAATTTAAAACCTTCAATTTCTTTAATGCATAAACTAGTACGAAAATAAAATTTTAAATTATCAATCTCAATAGAGTGATGGCATATAAATAATACGCCAAGAATAATATATATGTAGCTATTTTATGCATACGGCTGAAGCTTAAATTAAGCCGCTACTGAATTTAGCTTATTTTCAATATGCTGGTTGTTTTTATTCTATACAAAATGATTGAGATTTTTTGATTTCCTGCACCGTACAAATTTAAACTTTCATTTTCTATATTTTGACTCCAATAAAGTATTAAAATAGTATGAGATTATGCACTTTAACTTTGCATACATAATTGTCACAATTTAACCATTTAGTATTTAACGATTTTAAATTACTTAATCATTATCTTGTTACATATCGATCAAATTTGCATATTAGTGTGACAAGAAAAATTTAAACCCGGTTTATATATACTAATTGTTGCATAATACACCTTATAATTATTAAAAATTAGTATATATAAGACAAAATTTGATTGGCTATTCATTATATTACACAAACTATCATTACTGTCTTAATGCATATATTGTCTAAATGGATAAAAAATCATTTGACAGATGGTATGCATTTAGACAGTATTGACTGTATGTATGTATATGTACAGTATATACATGCATATTTTTAATAAATTAATACTTGGAATAGCATTTACTAATTTTTCTCTATACTTTCTATTCTAGCCAATCAGCATCAATTATGGGAACAAGATCTGGTGTAACACCTTTTACATATTAGCAAAAAAAACTTCTTGCAAAATTTTGGCATAACTTTACCCACTAAACCTAACACTAACTTTAACTAAAATATCATATTTTAAAAAAGATGGTGACATATAAACAATCAAATAATTTCAACCAATAAAAAGTGTGGTGAGAAATTAGTAAATGCCTTAAAACGTAAGTTACCCAGTGAGACCATAAAAGATTGACAATATGTATCAAATCAGATAAACAATTAAATTTTTAAAGTAATAAAAACCTACGTTAGAGTTGGGATTGTGACTGAAATTATGGCTTATTATATAATAAAATTTCACGAAGAATTTTTTTTGTTAGTGCGCAATAGGTGGTTTCATAGAGAGTTGATTGTTAGAAAAGATCTGATTGGTGCTTCTCGATAATCTTTCATAGTCCTGCTGGGGTAGCTTGAAGCGTAGAGGTGTGAATCAATACAAACAATTATTGTGCTTTGCAAAAAGATATGATCTATTTTGTGAGATTCTAGATTGTCTATTAATTTTCGATCGATTCTGATTTTTAGAATTGATTCACAGCCCTATTAAAGTGATGTCAGCTAGCATTTTAATTTAAACTAATTGTGAAATAATACTCATATTCATTATTTTGAAAGTACAAAAAAAAAGAATTTATTTACCATTTTCCTTTTTATCATTTTGCAGATTTGATGATAGGTTTTCTATAGCATATCAGTTTGAAAAAATTTTTCGAAAGTGTGGATCAATTGTAAGATTATAAAATGTTCTAGTATTAGTGCTAAACCGGAAGTCTTTTAAACTATTGAAAATATATCTTAATAACTGTATAGTATTGTATCGTCTAATAAGATCAAGATCGATGACTTTACAATTCATATATAGAACCATCGCCTTGAAGATATGATATACCATCTCTTTCATATCCATGGTGGTATTTGTTAATATGCCAAAATTCTTGGCATGTTGTAACCAATATGTAGTGATATGCATATTTGGTAAATTTGTAAAATATCTTGAGAATATTTTATTTTTTTCAATAAGAAAATATTTGTTTATTAATATATTCAAATAATAAATAATTCTATAAAAACAATATAGATTAAACTATAATAAAATTTTATAAACTTAACTGTAATAAGCAAATTATGTTTATTATTCAATAATTCTTGTAACTCTTTATAAATATTTTTAGTCATAGTTAGTGAAAATGCTAGTTTAAATGTTTTAGCTTCAACAACCCAGAGAGTGTATAACTGTTTAATTAAAATATTATTTTTTATGTACTGCAGTTTTAGAAATCATCTGAGTATGAACAGCATTAGCATTACAAGCTTTAAAATATCAGAAAACATAAAGCTATGATGATACTTTATTGGATTAGATATCTAATACCAGCAAATAGGTTTTTTGATATCTTGCTAGCATTTTATAAAAGCTTTTTCACCATTTGCAGTAAATATACTAAAAGTTGTGTCTAACAAAGTGCAAGCCTTTTCTATAAAAAAAGGTATTAAGTTTGTTTAAAATTTGTTTAAAAAATCAAAATAAAGGCTTTGTACATTTATTGATATAAAAGATACAACTTTATATAAAAAATATATAAAAGCTATACAATTTTTATATAATAACATATAGTTTGTATAATTTTTATCTTAATATCATAAACTGCTATATACAAGACCCGGGTCTATTTTATTTTACTAGTTTTAAACTCTATTAACAGTTCTGTAGGTCTTTATATAGGTAAAAGTCAGATAATTAAGGTTGGTGATAGCTGAATTACTGATTATTAGCACTTATTCTATTGTATACTCAGGTCTTTTATATTTTACCAAAGCTTTATCTTATGTTAGAGACCCGGGTATAGTACATAAGGGATTTGATATATGGTAATTCTTGTATACGGCAGTTTAGAGTAATTATACAAAGACCTTCTTTCTGAAATTTATCAATAGTGACAAAAATCAAACAAATAAATTGTTTTTACAGCTTACCACCCAATGCGTGATAGATATCCTGAGGAGTTTGTATATAACAATCTCATTTTAGTATATTTAGAGGTCCAGGAGTTGTTACTAGCCTATATAAAGTAGCCAATCACTCTTTACCAGTCTTAGTTTGTTGATTTATAATTTTTAGCAATTGGTTTTTTGTTTTCTTCTGGAATCATATATGCTCAATGTAGTTAAAATTTGAATCAGTAAGTTGGTTATTTGAAACTTTGCATGTTCTATAACCATATAATGCCCTATGCTGTTTTACACCTGCTAAGTCATTGCCTTGCGGTAAATCAGCAGTGACACATCCAATACCACCTATAATCCAAGCATCTCTATATAGTGTATGCATAATGAATCTATTTTCTAAATGCTTAAGGTCATTAAGAACTGGTTTAATAAAATCTTTAAAATTAATGCTAAATAGAACTAAGCTAATAAGAAAATAATTCTTAAGCAATTTTCGATCAAATTGCTTCATGTTACCTATCTGTATATATGTACCACCCAAAAATGATAAATATTCCTATAGATGCTGAAATGATCTAAATAAATATCTAGAAATATTTTTAGTATAGGTATTGGCTGCGATGGTGAAATAATCGTGATATTTTCAAAGGCAATCTATGCCTTTTGAAAATGTCACGATACTTCTAGCGGTTATTGAAACTATACAATATTTTCTGAATATAAAAATCATATTTTCTGGATTCAGGCAAATTACAAAACCAAACATTAATATGTTGACTAATAATTTTCAGGTTGATGAATATCGATTCTCCTTTAACAAACCACAATTCTTTTCTATTTCTACATGTGTGGCAATTACTGTTAGCTCGACAATTCAGGAGATTCTGATGCTGTAAGAGCTGATTAACTTTTAGTTGACAGGCTTTATCTATTTTATTAGTTACTATACCACGTATATAGCATATAAATATTAATAATAGTTCTTTATATATAACAAAATCCCCTGAATTGTAAATCTCTAATAATTTAAACTTTAAAATTAATATACAAATATATAGTCACATCCAATTTTCTCAATGGTTATTTTACCGCAAGCAGTTTATCTAATATTATGAAAAGTGATAATTTACTAATAATATATAACTATAAATAATAGAAATAATAACTCTAACTCTATGTAATGACAGGTAAATGGCCTGGTGGTGAAATAACCATAGAGAAAATGAGCAACACAAATAAATTCCAAAAGTTAATATCTCAAGCTAATCTCTATTATTACATCTTATTTTATATTCTCTGAAAAGTGGTGAATCTTGCCAAAGATTTCCATACTAAAATTTACTTTTTTCTTTTTTAACTATGCCAGGTCCGAAGTATAATTTTGGTATGAGTGTTGAATTATTCAAGATTCTTTTCAAATGTGTTAAAGGAGATATTGTGTAGGCCTTCTTAGTATATACAAGCACTGAGGGTACTTTTTGTTTGCAAATAGGTATATTATGCTATTGTATTCTAACTAGAGAAAATCTGTGTCTCCACTTGCAAATGTATCAAATATTTTGTACTACATCTTTCTTATGAAAATTAGGGTGTTGAAGAATTTTAGAAAGATCTTCATATGCACTAATTGCTATGTACATATATACATATATAATATAGTAATAAAGATAAATAATTTATAAGTATATAGTATGTATTTATTTAGATTCTAAAAGTGACACCGACCCAGATTGGAGCCTATTACTATATAATATATAAATAAATCTAAATTCAAAAAATTTTATTCAAAAAGGAAATTTATTAAAAATTTCCTTTTTGGATTTAAACACAAATTCAAATAGAACTTTTAATAATAAAAATAATCAGTAATTATTATTTTAATTTCTATTTTTGAATTCTGTTACCATTATATCCAATATTACTTACAAATCATATGCTTTGTGATCCAGATATATAACATTGCAGATGTAAAATTTGGAAAGTACAGACCATATTCTCCATTAAAACCTTTAAATTCTGAGGATTCTTTTTCAAAAATTTTATCACTTTTTGAATCGTTTTCTATAATATCAATTAGTTGCTCATGTGTGGGACCCAGAAATTTGTTTAGTAGATGATTGTATATATTATCATTTTCATCTGTATTATCATCAGAATCATCTGAAAAATATTCTGTAAAATTATTCTCATCTGTATCATTATTTTCATCCATACTATCATTCTTATCTGTATCATTATTTTCATCCAAATTGTTATTTTCATCCATATTATTATTCTCATCCATATCATTATTTTCATCCAAATTGTTATTTTCATCCATATTATCATTCTCATCCATATCGTTATTTTTATCTATATCATTATTTTCATCCATATTATCTGTATTGTTATTTTTATCCATACTATTCTCATTCGTATTATTATTTTCATTCATACTATTCTCATATGTATCATTATTTTCATTCATATTATCTGTATCGTTATTTTTATCTATATTATTATTCTCATCTGTTTTGTTATTTTCATTTATATTATCTGTATCATTATTTTTATCTATATTATTACTCTCATCAATTTCACTAGTTTTATTAGTCTCAATTGCTTCATTAATATTGCCAATTTCATAAATATCATCATTAGTTTCAATAGCTTCTTTAGCAGCTTCTTTCTTATATTCTCCAAAAGAGAAAACATTATCTGAAAGATCCATATCTTGAACTACTTCTAATAATTCTTCAGCTTCCTTGACAGCTTCTTCCTTAGTTAAATAGTGTTTTTTGAAAGAGAAGACTTTCTCTACTTCAGATAATTCTTTTTTTTGTTCGTTTTAAAATACGCAGCTTTGATATCTCATTATGATTATAATGATTCTTGGTTCTACTTGATTATTTCATAGTATATGATTTCTATGTATAATTTCTGCTTATTTTATATTTATAATGCTGATAATTTATAACCGAAAACAAATGATATTAGTCAAAATAAGATGATAAAGTATAACTAATATAATTAATTATATATTATTAAAACAAGTGACATGTAGAATATACTATCTGGCTATAAATTTCTGTGTGTAATTTCTGCAATTTCTGCTTATTTTATATTTCTAATACCAATAAGTTATAATCAAAGACAAATAATATATGGTCAAAATAAGATGATAAAGCATAACTAATATAATTAATTATGTATCATTAAACAAGTGATGTATAGAACATACTATTTGGCTATATATATAATTCTTGGAGATGATTTTTTTTTACTATTTTTTGCTAATTACTATGCCTTCTAAAAAAAAAACTACTAGTAAGTAGATAAAATAATATTTAATATTTCTTTTATAAGATTTCTATTAAATATAATATTTTATAGATAAAAAGAAAGCACAAACCCCTTCTGTTACAACTCAAGTACATGCTATGAATAGTATATTATTTGGGTATTTAAAGTATATGAGCTTATGAAATTTATTTATATTATGAAGGTATTAAATCTTAGCAAATAATGCATGCACAAATTCTGTTTCTAAAGTATCAAAATTGTCTTCAAATAAGAGGCAAAGATTTCAAGAGCCAACTAATAGCCAAGATCAAGATGAAGGCGAAGAGACATCAGGTATGCATTACATATATTATTTTGGATAATTTCTTAACTATAATATTTAATTTAATTTTTATAGATACCATTACAACTCATGCACTCAATACTAATAACCAAATTTGAGAAATTAAAG